CTTAAGGTTTGTGGATGCAAGATGTTTTTACACAGGTGTCACCAGAAAACCTGTTTCTGTTTTTGAATGGGAATGATCATGGAGGCAGTATGCAGCAAACTAATGGTATATTTTTTTTAAATACTAAGCCATGCTGGGTAAACTCTGTATTTACCGCTGTAATCTCCTGTCACTCAGGAACAGCTGTTCTTTCCTTTGGATAGCTGCATTACAGGGTACCCAGGCCAGGACACATTTCTCCTCTTTTTGGTTGTGAATTAACCTTAATAACATACATGTACATAACATGTATTTTTATGAAACTTTGAAGTTGTCCTTGTAAATATTCTCTCAAGTGGATTTTGTGTTATGTCAATTTCCTTGTTTGCTTGGTTGCTTTGATGTTGTCTGAGTTTTGATTTTTCTCAATTTTGTAATAGTATGTTTTCGTAGCCCGGCCTCCAGCTTCTGATGTAATAAAACACTATTGGCTGCCTTAATCAGAGCAGATGACAAGATGCAGTAAAAAAAATAAACTGCTACTTGTCTTTCTGTGTGTATACAGAAACAAATGTCTAACTTTGTACTGTCTGAAATAATGTAAGAAAACCCATAATTAACTGATGGTAACTTGAACTGATAAAGTCAAATGTGAGCCGGAGCCTTATAACTGCTGACCTGAAAACAAAGATCTGGCTTTGCTCAATAGGAACTTTAGGTGCAAGAGCTGATGTAAGCTTAGCATAAATGGAATAGCGTAACAGCTATTAAATCTGAGCGTGTTATTAAATGGTAAACTGACTGAGCACTCAAAGGGTTTTCTACTACATGCTTCATTTACACACACACACACGTATTAATACAAGGACTGTTTCTTTATCGAAGTGCTTCCTAACCTTCATACACGCACTCACACTCATACCGGGAGCATCTTTAGCTTCAATATCTTGCCCAAGAAAACAGGGATTGAACCACCAACCTTTTAGCTAGTATACAACCACGTTTCACCTCCTGAGCTACAGCTGTTTATTAAAAGCTATCATAATTTTTTAATATGTATCACAGCATCAGTCACTTAGAAACCATTATGTCCCACTGTGTCAGGAGATAAGCAGATATTAATCAAATTTTGGCTTCCCATGATTAAATGGACGCAATAGACCAATAGTGACAATGCGTGCTTCATCACATCAAGTTGGTTCCTAAGTCACTGCCTGACAATGAGCATGCACTATATGTGCCAATCACAGCTGTTACCTGCACTATGCACCATGTTTGTTGCTGTAGTCTGTCCTACTAATGCTAAATTAAAAGACAGATACAGCTGAAGGTGAAGAGCTTGTCCTTCGGAATACCGTTCATTGTTTGGAGCTATCCTACCACCTGAAAGCACACTACAAACACACGTCCAAGAAAACCAACGCAATGGCTGCTAACAGGAATCACCCAACATCAGCACAGAACTCCACAAATGCGAGCCCGTGTGGCACGTCCGCATATTGATCCATCTCACAAAGATGTACTGAAATCACCAACATAATGGCCAAAGATAAGTATACACTAAATACTCTCAGTAGCAAAGGCTTCAGGAAAAATAGTCACTGGACAAAAGCCATATTATCCCCTCAAGCAATTACTTTTCCAATAGCTGTGCTGTATACAACATGACAAAGAGGGGAATAGAGAGAGATTTTATATTTTGCTTCTAAGAGACCAGGTGATCAGGCCTTCTGTGTGGAGAGATGGTTTTATTAACAGGAGTGTAGCATAATGTAGAAAGTGAAAGTAATACAGAAAATTAATTTTGAGTAAAATCTTGGTACAGTTTTTGTATTTGCCTTTATTTTTATTGTATGAGTTTCACCGACTTTAGGTGAAAAAGCAGGGCTGAAAAAATGTTTACGCACAATTCAACAAATCAACCAATAACTGAGATAAATAATCATGATCTCACTAATGTCCAAAATAATCATAATTTTCATTTTGGCCGTTATCGTATCCGTCTTTAACAACAGATGTCACTATTTGGTAGAGCTGGGCGATATATCGAGTTTTTAAAAAATATCGATATATTTTTATACGAGATATAAGATCTGACAATATCCTTTATATCGATATAGTCTATGTTACGTTATAATTATACTTGTGGAGCCGCAAGTTTGCCTCTCTTTCGTGCACTTCCGTCTCTACCCAACGTTACTCGGCCTCGCCTCTCCTTCACTGAACACAACTCCCCCTCCTCCCCCATCGCTTCACCTGCAGGAAGCAACAAGATGGACACGGCAAATCTCCGTTAACGAGTTACTGCGCATCGCCCCGTGCGTGGGGCTGGACGGCGTCAACGTGTTAGCTAGCTAACCACGCTAACGAGCTAACCACGCTAACGCCATGCAGCCCAGAGGTGCTGCACGGACTAAAATCCTTTCATTTTCTCAAAAGTTGACAGCGCGCCTAATGTATGAATTCTGGTTGTGCTTGATGGCCGCGAACCGATTTTATGCGGAACACGGCGCTCAGCAATCTGTCAAAAATGTTTTAGTACGACTTTGGTAAGCTACGGAGCTGCACCGCTTGACGGATTGTCGGAGGATTACTGCTGAGCCTCGCGGAGTGATACGTACTGTGCTTCAACGTAATATTACCCTACTGTGTATAAGGACCATAAATGGCACCTGTTAAGAGACGTGGTTGCGAAGCGGATTTCAAACTCCAGGCTGTCAGTCACGCAGTACAAGTTGGGAACAGAGCAGCTGTGAAATCTGTCTTTGTTATTGTGCTCAGCGTCTTTTAGTTTACATTTTGACTGCACAATTGTGAGCTTTTTGTTATGCACAAAAACAACATTGTTTTCTTTTATTTATGGAGCATTATTATTTAATAAATGCTCATAATTTATTTTTGAGTAAATTTTATGTACATCTGCTCTATGTTAATAAAAGTGCCTGTGTGACATCTGGGACACAGCTTTGACTAAGAACTCTCTTCTTGTTCTTACTTTATGGCTTTAAAAAAATATATCGAGATATATATCTTATATCGCCAGCCAGCTAAAAAATATCGAGATATGAATTTTGGGTCATATCGCCCAGCCCTACTATTTGGTCTCCGTCAACCATTGTTCTCTAAATATGAGCTGCACGTGCAGTGTAGACATTATGAGCTCTTTATGGCTAAATTCTAAAACCATAAAAGGTAAAGTACAGCAACATTGTATTTCCTGCTGTTGTACCATGTGCTCTGACTCTGTTCATGATACGACAGCACTGACTAGCAAATCAGCTGTTCATTACCCTTTAATAGGTGAAAAAAATAACCAAACTTAAATGTTTGGTGTGAAGCGGACGAGAGGTAAAATGCAACAGCCCTTCCACAGTTCTAGACCAAATTAACTAAATGAACCAGATTTTAAAAACATCCTTAATATTTTTGAAAGAGGCGACAATGTTAACATTACAAACTGTAACTTTCAGACAGGCAGTGTCCTCGTCATGTCCTTTCAAATGCAAACATCTATTCTAAAATTGGCATTTCAGTCAGATCATATTAATAAAAAGACATTACATAATTAGAAAAACAAAACAAAACGCCCCCAACCACAACCTACTAGTGCTGTGCGACACTGCAAATTTTGGTATAAGTCTGTTACCAAGTAAATGCAGAGCCTGTATTGCCAATAGAAATACCAACATTTTTAACCTGTAAAGGCAGCTTATGTAGGAGAGAACAATGTGTCATTCGTGATTCATCATCATCAATTTGCAAATTCTGAACACAATCACAAACAAAACTTTTCAACTTCTCATGTATATTTTAAACTGGGATTTTTTTGGAGATGTAAAATATAAATGTTCCTGTCTCTAAAGCACTTTGGGTCAACTTCTGTTACTGAAATGTGCTACAGGGTATACATCCAAAAAGGTTCACCAGGGTGCAGCACATCATGAACTTAGAGGACAGACACAAAGTATCGATCCTGTCACGTTAGTATCGATCTGATACCAGTATCGGTGTTGGTATCAATACTACTGGATCGACTGGCCCACCTCTACCACCAGTGCTCCAAGAAACTGAGCAATTCACTGCGATTAAAAGAGAAACATTATAGATGGTCATAACAAGGGATTTAACTAAGCTGCAGAGAGTGGGAAATCACTACTAATGAGACAAGTGAACAAAATTATACTTGGTACACTGGAGTGGGTTAGGATTAGCATCAGGAGTTGGTAATCCCTTAGTTGCACAAAAGCTCAGTAGAGTTAACAAAAAAAGCACACACACATTTAATGGCTGACTTTGTCCAAAGAAAAATATTTCATACCTTTTTTTTTTTTTTACCATTTAAAGGTATCCCTTCGAGACATCAGTAACCCTGACAGAATTTGTGGCTGGGTAATTTCAGCTCATTCAATAGGTTCCATTAAGATGATTAGCTCAGCTGAGTCGCATCATCACTGTGTTACTGCCAGTCACGTCCCAAGTGAGAGCCAGTTACTATCCACACGTTAATACCCACTGCCATGTTACATTTGTAACACCGACTTGATTGGCTACGCATCGCAGCACAGTGGATTGTGAATTGTAGAGGAAGACAAAAAAGGATGAGCCAAAAAGGGATTTGGAACCTGGCCTTTAAACAGAAGCGAAACAGAATTGACCATAATTAAATATTTGAACTTTCGAATAATTCAAACACTCTCTGTGTGAGAGCTCCAGTTTAAATGTGGAATGAAACATTTACAAGTTATATTAGCAGACCGAAGAGGAACAGTGAAAATTACTGAAAAAGAATCAGCTAATGTTTAAGTGTAGCCCTTTGGGTGTATTTAATTAGCATTACACTGACCCACAATGCATGAGTTCATACTTTCCCTTTATTTTTTTACATTTTATTTATTTGTTTTTGTTGTTGATGTTATAGCTGTCAAGACATGTGTTTGGGAGAAAACCCTTCAGCGCTCCCACCCGTGTGAGTCTCCTGATGTGGAAAGAGGAGTCAGATAAATGGAACAGAAGGTCCTCACCCTGCCATGACGATAAAGAAATCCAGCCTGTTCCACGTGTCCCCGAGGTAACAGCGTCGACCAAAGATCCCCAGAGCGATCATTTTTACAACCATCTCCATAGCAAAGAAGATGTAGATGAACGCATCGAAGGCCTGACAGAAAAGAAACAGAGATACGAGGTGTTAATAAGGGAAAACATAAGGAAAAACGTCATTTCTGGCTGCTTTTGGCAGCAGGAATGATGAATCATTGTTGGGATGGAAACAAAAAGATCACAGAGAGAGACGTCTGTTAAATTTAGCGTGCAAAAGTGAAACTAACTGACTTTAATCATCGTTTGAACTCACAATTTTTTTTTTTTTGCTTGTTTTTTTAAGTTTCATGGAAACGGTGACCAGGAGAATCGTCATTTCTTTATAGGTTTAACACTGAAAAACGGATTACATTAAATAAATAATGCATGTGTGTGAAAAGGCCTTGCATCTCATAGACAAGCAGATGCAAATGTACACACACACACACACACATGCACGGATAAATAAATAAAACCACTTGGCAAATGCCTGTTTAGTTTTCTGTCTTCATTTATGTTGGAAGTGATAGCAGAGCTGTACATTTTAATTTTTTCAGAAATCCCTCAGTCAGAACATGGTATATCATGTTTAGGTGGAAACTAGCGAGCTAACTTCCTGCTAACTTCTAACTCTGCTAAATTTAATAGATTCTGTTTTCATGGATGTTAAACTTATTTGTTACACCTGGTGAAGCAGCAACTCTGATCATTTTATTAAAGATGAAAGAATTTAGGCAGTTTTTAACTCACAGTGTGCAGTGTTCGTTTGACTTTGAGACCTGAACAGACGGAGTTTAGGACCCAGATCACTCCGCGAGTCTCCTGACTACAGTAGCCGTAATGCTCCCACAATCCATCAAGCGGTGCAGCTTCTTGCTTACCAAAGTCACACTAAAACATGTTTTGACAGATGTTTGAGCGCCGTGTACCACATAAAATCGGTTCGAGGTCAGCAAGCACAACCAGAATTCATACATAAGGCGCACTGTCGTTTTTTGAGAAAATTTAAGGATCTTAAGTGCGCCTTATAGTGTGGAAAATACAGTATATCAACACTACATGTAGAAAAATTGAAGTTAAGGTTCCAACTAGATTTATTTTGACACAAATTATAAACACAGTTTTTAGATCCTCTGAGTGGCCGTAGGCCCTTTTAGGCTTTATGTCTACAATTGAATAAACTCATCTATTCATTTTGTGCTAAATGATTTATCACTTCTTCTACAATCCTCCATTAATTGGTTCCAGGTCCATAACTTTTACCATAACAGGCAGTAAAACTCAATATCAATGAATTTTGTTGTATTTTGGTTTGCTTTAGCAACAGCTCTAAAGATCCATTATACAGTACATATTTCCTCTAAATGTAACATGCCTAATGTACAAGCACAAATTTAACAGATTTCCTGATGAATGAGACAGACTGTTTGTCTGCACACAGTAAGATGATGTTGTGTGTGAAAAGCAAACTGATGGCAGCAAAGACGCTTCTTCCATGACATCATCCAAATGCCGTCAAGCTCAAATCAACAGGTTTCCTTAAAAGGTGAAGTAATGGAAAACGATTATTCTGCGCAGTAATCAGAGGTAAGCCTCACGTCGAAATCCTCACACCTCACATAGCTTTTATCAAGCATCTAATAAAAAAAGAAAAGAAAAACACACTTAAACAAATCCAAGAATTCAGCTCGTCGATGCTGTTGTGTGCAAAAAGCCTAGATTAGCTGGAGCTCCTTTCTGTTCATACTGGGGGATTAGAGACAAACTGACACGCTCAGTGTTGCCTGTAATTTGATTTTCAGAGCGACGTACTGCAAGCGACGTGATCCAAATCTGAACCATTAAGGTGGATCTTTGTTTCCTGACTTGTTTGCTGCTGAAAACATGCATCCTATTTAGTGCAGGTATGCCAGACCAGCTTACTAATGAGTGGTCAGACTTTCCAACCTTGACCTTTGCTGGAAAGATGGATGTGGTGCTACCTTCGGTAATGTTTGCTAACCCAAGGGAGACTTTAGCAAATGGTGAAAAGCACTTATGTCTCGTGCCATTTCTGCAACTCTCTAAAACATCTGACTTTATTTTTTCATTCCCCTCCCCGAACCCCCAGTGTAGAAGTTTGCTATGTCACACCTCTGTCTTTCTAAATGGAGGGACAGTAACTGCGTGTGTTTATGTAAGTGTGTAAAAACTGCAGCTAGTCAGATTAACAGCAACAGCATTTTGTCTCTATCCTGAGTGAAGACGACTTTGATGCTGCATGAGTAAATCCCCATTTTCCTCGTCCACACTTAAACGCAAAAACAAAGTTTTTAAAAATCTCCATTTTCAGTGATCGATAACGCCGTTTACGTGTGGATGAAAGGCCCAAACAAATAGAAAAATCTGCGTTTTCAAAAAATTTCAAAGAGAGGAGGGGTAGCTCAACACTTTTGCACAACAATGGACTTGCACTCATCCATCATCCAACAATGCCTGCTAGTGGCCACCTAAGCCTCCAAAGGTCTCTCAGCCCACATTTGTTAGAGCTTATAGATTTCGCTGCTGAGCCAGCATGGAGATCATGTTATTGAACAGTAGATTTTCTGAGAGCAGCGTATTGACTGTGGGGCTGTAGCCCACTAAATCCATGCTCATACTGAATAGGGTCTATAGATACTTGGAGGAGAAATTCTATTAGATCCAACTCAACAACCCCCCCACCCCCCCACAGACACTTGAATCAATCTACTGTGTGCGTCTACGTTTGCTGCTATGCTATATGATGTGTGCAGCGCCTCGTGTGCATTGCGTGTGATTCAGCAAGCTCTTTGCCCCGGTAGACGGAAGGCATATGCGCGCAGGCTCTAGCACAGATGTTATACCCACTCGAGCCACCTTTGACATAAGTGAGAAGAGATTCGGTGTCCTGCCAAATGATAAGTGAAGCTGCAGAGGTGCCATACATGACAGAGTCATGCTCGCTGCAGCATAAAGACCGCAAGCTAGCAGCGAGTCAGTGCAAGCAGGTACAGTGCCCAGCATGGGGGGAAGAAGAGCATGATGGGCAAATGAGGTAAGGTTGGGATAAAGCTGAGTTTGGATGTATCAGTGTGTGTTTCTATCTTCTTTTCTGCAATATGACCGTGCGATTCGAATCAAATATACAGAACATAAACCAGTCTAACTGGTCCCTTTGACTTTTAGGACCCTTTAAAGAGGTCCCTCAACACCTGTAGCTCATACATCACTTTAAAAGGAATATTTATGTTATCAGAGGGATTTTCCTGGCTCAGAATGGACCTCATGAGAGAGACTATGCATCTAAACACAACTCGTCTCCAAGCAGCAAAAGAAAAGAGTCTGTATTGCTTTACTTAACAGACGTCTATGGGATCAAACATATTTTTATCAGAACCACATGTTCATGTGTCCATAGGAAGTAGAATTCATATGAAATGATTGCATAAAAACAAAATAGCACACACACACACACACACACACACACACACACACACACACACACACACACACACACAAGGCACTGTTAAGAGCACACATACAGTTTCCTTTGAGACTATATGGGATGTTGCTACAAGCTAGGGGTGGATTTCGTGCACGTTTGCGTTGTACCTGTAGTATCTGGCATCGGTCTGAGGAGCAGTCGATGTTCTCACAGGGCTGGTACATTCCCAGGGTAACACAGTTCAAAAGGATCACCATCATACTCACACGTTCGAACCATGTAGAGACACATCTGGTTAAGGAGAACTCCTCACAAAGGGAAAGCCAAGACTTTATGTTCCGGTGAAGGGAAAATGGGTCATTCGTACTTTAAACAAAAGAAACTCTATGAAGACACCTCATTTAAAAAATGATGAGAGAATAGAAACAAATAACAAAAGTAACCCTTTCTGCTAACTCAGTTCTCCAGCTACTAACCTCTTAATGCCAAGTGTGTCATGTACATACATGACTTTTTTTTACTTTTACATGTGTGATTCCCCCCCCCCCCCCTAAAAAACACAAATAAATTGCAGAATAAATCTTTAACCAACAAATTGTCCAGAAAAGCCAAACATTTTTTAAAATGCCAAAAGGTTTAATAAACACTCCGTTTAAAAAAATAGATTTTTCCGGCAATCATTTCATGGTTCGGGCTTTAAATGGCTAATAGCATGTTCAGCTTCTGACTGGAAAGGAGGTATATGGTCTAAACTGAACAAGAGCTTTATTGTCAATACAACAGTTTACAGCGTAATAAAAATGCTGCTTCACCCAAGCACCCCTTGGTGTAATCATAAGAATATAAAAAACATATCTTTATGTGATTTATGATTTAAAACTAGGAATTACAAATAAATAATGTGCTAAATTTCGGTAAAATTAAGGGATAAAATGGTACTAATTACTAACTATACAATGCTATGAAATACTATAATGTTAACTGTACAATAACTGTACAATAAACAAAGACAGGACAGAAACAATACAAAATGTATAGTGCAGTAGGTATTGAATACCAGGTTCAAGTTTTTGTCAGGATATTGTAGACGAGACAGGACGAAGACGTGCAAGATGCAAAATGTGCAAATATAGTATAATTTATAATTCAGTCCATCTTCTGCTACAGAACAGCAGTCAATTCCTACCATAGTGTTTTTAGTGTTTCTTTTTTTTTAAGCAACACTCTTATATCTGCAGATTGCTTTTATATTCTATGATGGGTTCTCAGAGTCAGCATTATTTTTTATAACTGCTATGAAAACTATGGCAATAACAGAAGAAGAAGAAAATCCAATTTTAAAAACCTGCCATAGCTTTTCTTTGATCGCTCCATAAAAGTTAATCCTCACTGACACAGGAGACTGCGGTAGTATTAGAAAGTGTAATGCGCGATATCTATGACATACTCTATGAAAAATGCACTTTTCTTATTTAACTTCATCACTCTGCTGACACTCACTTATGCACCCCAAAGCCATCTAAATCATAAAGACAAATGAGATGCATCAGATGCTGCAGAGACATTTCATAGAACTGAACGGCACCATCTACTGTCTGCCAGCAAGATGCTGGACCCCTACTGTTTCAGTGGTTTCTAATAGGAAAATCCTCTATGACGTGAGTAATCAAAATCCTGCATAGCAAATGTCAGAAAATGTGTGACGATGCTGAATATTGTGAGTGAACCAAAAACTGAACAACACTTGTTCTGAGAAAAGTTAAATGGAGCAGACTGAAGAGGAAAAATCAAACAGTATTGGCAAAGAAAGAGCAAGAGGAAGTGATTCAAAATTCATTCACCATGTGTTCGTGGAGGGAATGCAATGCTCAGCTAACAAGTACGAGAAGGACGATGTGCTGTAATAGCCCAGGAGGTCCAATCCCTCCTGGAGGCTATACAGAACAGGAAGCTGAAACACTCCCCGAGCAGCTTGACATACACAGTCAGCAGGACAGGTGCAGCTTCAGCAAGACACACAGAGTCTCCTGAAAACATTAACTTCTCAACACGCTCGTCTTGGCCCTGCCTGAACCTTCCCACAAGAAGATGGACCACTTTAGATATCGCAGGATGGATAAAGATAGGCTTTGAGTGGGCAAAGCACATGCATACACATAAACACAAAGACAGAGAGCCACACACAAACACCCACTTCTCCAAACACATATGAGCGGAAAGCCGCACACATATGCACGTGCAAAATAACCAACAGGTTCAAACACATAACACTCAAATCACCCGCCCACACTTTAGCACAGATTCATGTACACACACACACACTTGGGCACATTAGGTTTCACATTAAATCAAACATTAAGTCAATACGCGTCAGCTGACAGGGATCATGTAAAGAGAAATTTTCACCGCAGGGTGGCATGTTTATTATCGACATCCAACAGGCTAACAGCTGCAAAGCAGACATGACACATGGTTAAGAGGAAAGATCTGTCATAGACCATCAAATGCATGGATCAATTAACTGCATGACAGCTTTTTAAACAGTTACACAGAAAAAATGATATTTAAATAACTGTATGCAAAGTTCTGAGTATTATATGCATAGCCAGGGTTGAAAGCAACAACAGCGTAACAAATAGGCACTTAACATGTGCATGTGTCATTTTTACATTGTTAATATGGAAAAAAATAGAAACATTTGAAATTATACGTTCCAACATGATGGCAAGTATTACATACAAACTTTGTACTGTGTCTACCAATTAGAATGGCACAGTGATAGGTTAGGTCTTTTGTGATTCAATCACTCTTTATGCACTACTTGCTTGAAAACACATAAAAAATACTTGATGATCTTCACAGTGTATGTGGATGTTTGACATTTTCTCAATTTTCATAAATCAAACACATACTCCCGTATTAACTGAAATATTTTCTTTGATCGTTTTGAAGATAATCTAATTTAATCCTTCTCTTCTTACAATTTAACAAATATAACAAATATAATGAGATTATTGTCAAAAGTCAAAGGGATTTAAAAAAACAAACTTCATCCTTTTACAATTTTTTTTCAACAATAGATTTCACATTTTTAACTGGAAATCCATCCATCCATCCTTGAAATTCCAGGTCATTGCAGCGTAAACAGAGACGACTTGTTAAGTATTGATTTTAGAATTCTGATTACTTCTGAACATGAACTAATAATTATATCTCTGATTAATGGACCCTCTGTGTTTTCTTATTCCATTTACTTTTTTCCTTTTTCTGTATAGAGCTTTGTAACTTTTGCTGTATGATGATCAGTATGATAACAGCATCAATACGCTTAACATGTAGGCAGCGTGTGTAGGGGAGAGCAGTGTGTCAGGAGTTATGGGATGAATTATTATCAATTTTCAAATTCTGAACACATTTTAATGACCAGTAAATCACTGTGATGAGTTAACACAGCAAAACACACCTTTCAGCTTTTCCTGTGTTTTGACATCTGGAATTTAACACCACTCTGTGAGCTGCATCCTGAAGTTAGACGACAGATTAATACAGAAATAAAGTATTAATCCTATCACGATCCAATAATAATATCAGCGTTGGTATTGATGCTATTGATATTTGGATCAATATAATTGATGAGGTGTAGCAAAATCAATTGGAAATGCAGTAACGGAACAAATAATCCAGTTATATCACCATTCTACAAGCGCACGCACACGCACACATACAGAGACACACACACACACACTTTTACCACTTCAGCTTTTTGTGTAGCTAGCCCTTCCTAATGAGGACAGAGATATCATCCTCAGGTGTCACTGAGCCTATGTGAGAACCTCCAGGCAGTGTCTGTGAATCCACCCCCTAAAACACGAATGCCTTTCCAGGCATAGCTGGACAAAATTGCAGGTCAGCATTTCTTCTTTCCTCGCACTAAGTAATGATGACAGCTTTTGGACTAATACTATTAGGATTATCCTGGGGTCATTTTCACTCCTAAATGCATTCTTTAGCGTGTTGCTGGAGTGCCCAGCTTTCCAGTTACCTTCTAATTCACTCCGCCTATACATGAGCTGCCTTTAACAATGTGCAAGTGTCTGTCTATCTCTCGCCACTTCTGAAAAATGAGTCAATTAGTGTAGGTGCCTTGGAGGAGGCTCCATTTTTTTTTACTCTCTCACACAGACATGCACACGCACCTCACATCAACACTGGAAGGAAAATGAGGTGAAATTCAAAGCGCAAAGCTCTATTACAGACCGGGTGCTCGAAGATTAACTCTGAAATAGTTTCATAGAACTCTTTCACCTTCTGAATTTTTTAACCTTCATATTTTTTTTTGTTCTCCAGGAGTAATTGTAAAGTAGCGTCTGCTGTTTCCAGCACGGTCTGCTTCGCATTCATCCAGCGGCTGTCACTCACTAGTAGAAGCTCCTTATAACACCTTCAGTAATTCAATGCAGGTCACTAAACAGCACCATTAAAAGATCTGGAGGTACAATTACACAGCACAATTATGTGCACTGTACAGCAGGTGATTACACTAACATGCTTACCCAGTGCTTGTCAACTGACTGGCTCGAAGACAGGGATGGGCGATATATTGAATATTCTCCGTGTGGTTAAATATAACACTAATGGTTAAACAGGTTATTTAAACATATTGCAATATATATTGCGCATCGTGATATCGCAAAAACTAAAAAAAACAAACAAAAGTGAAATAGAATTTTCCTCATATGGCCCGGCCCTACTTGAAGATGCTTTCATGTTTACTGTTAAAAGGATGGAAACGTTTAAGCCTATAAATTACAGGCATCCTTGATCAGTTCATTTTGAAACACTTGCAAAATAGTCCTTCTGAGACTGACTGATTAAATCGACTGTCTTCAGCTCCTTAAACCTTTTTACATTCTTCCAGCCTCACAGAGTACATCATACAGCCAGGAGGAAACAAATCTAAGATTCTTTTAAAAAGCCAGATAAAAATGCAGTGGCACTGGAGACCACTACCGAGAAGATTTGGATGTGCCAAAAGCATCAGCGTGACAGAGCTGGAAAGAGCTTAGAGGCTGAAAGTGTGCGGCAGCGGGGGATAAATGAATTCTTAATACCTCACTGCATGGCGTCACTCTGTCTACCCATTCCTCAGTGTCTCTCTGCCTTCTCTCTCTCTTGCTTTCCTCCCTTGTTTTTATTGTTCCCAAAGAGACACGCAGGAGGCAAACGACCTCTGGTTTCCATGGAAACCAATCGGCTATCAAATGAAGTA